TAACCCTATATTTTCAGGCCCCTACACCCTAAACCCCTATAGTAGCCCTTGTAGAACCCTTTAAGGAGCCCGTGAAAGGAACCCCAAAACCCTATTCTAACTATTATAAGGCCCCTACTTGGAGGGTCGGGGGACTTAGTAAATGGTTATTTTATAGACTTCTAAGTACTATTACCCCAATTAGGGTCCCTTTTAAGGTACTTATAAGTCTGCTAAATACCTACTTACTAAGTGTCCCGACCCTCCAAGTACGGTAGGAGATCTCCCAGGCGTGGTGGCAGAGGTGTACCCCATTGGCAGCGCATCGTTACATGGTCAGAGACCCGGTTCTCGCTCGAGCTTTGGGTCGGCGGGGGCTTGGGGTTTAAGGGTTTTTAGGGTTTAGGGTTTAGGGTATAGGGTTTAGGGTACGGGGTTTTGAGGGGTTTTAAGGGGGTTTTAAGGGATTTTCAGGGGTTTACAGGGTTTTAGGTTTTAAGGTTCAGGGTTTTAAGGGGCTTACAGGGTTTAGGGTTTGCAGGGTTGCAGGGTTGAGGCTTTAGGTTTAGGGTTTATAGGGCTAGGGCGGAATATTTATTCTAAGAGGCTAAACCCTCAACCCTAAACCATAAACCCTCAACCCACAACCCACAACCCTAAACCCCTAAACCCCTAAACCCCTAAACCCCTAAACCCCTAAACCCTAAACCCTAAACCCCAAACCCCCAATCCTAAAAGCTTAGAAGCGCACCTGTGATGCACACGGAACCTGAGCGCGTGGAGCCGATGTCGGCCATTTGCAATGGGCGGCTTACCTATAGTCTCCATTGTAGTTCTTTTTTTGGTTTAACCAAATATATGTTAAGGAGTTTATAAGGTATCCCCAAAAAGGAACTACAATGGAGCCTATAGGTAGAGGACGATTGTTGACGCCGTGGAGTGGTGCAACTGCAGCAAAAGGGTCATACAGCTCCTGAGGGCGTTTGGCGACATTTTACGAGCTTTCCTCATGCTGTTGCCACTCTGTGTGCCTTGGCAAAAAGCTTATGATGACAGGCTTTACTGCGGTAAGACCAAAGGAGGCCGTGTTGAGCTCCTACCAATGTTGGGAGTTTGGGGTCTGAGGGTTCAGGGATCCCTGATTCAGAAGCCCCCTGTTTTGAGAAGCTTTCTCGTCACGATCCTAGCAAGGATCCGAACAGAGAGGCCTCAGTCGTCTACAGAATAGAATATAGTGCAGATAGGCAGCTGCTAGTAGGGTTATAGGGTTTAGGAGTTTAGGGTTTTTGGTTTAGGGTGAAGGGTTTATACGGTTTAGGGTTAAGGTATGTAGTAGTAGGGTACTACTGTTCACCATGACTTCATGTTCATTGAAATAACAATCATAGTGCTATTTGCCCCAAATGCTATTTTTAATTACTTGACGCTCATACTCCCGATCAAGTTGCTAGAACCCCTAAAATCTACACCCCTAACACCCTCCCCCACGCAAAACAACAGGCAGCCTTCACCAAAACCTAAATACTAAAGCCCTCAAAATTAAAGCAGCCGAAGGGTTTAGAGTTTGGCCTTCAGAGCTAGCGAAGCCTTCAAAGAGGATCCTTCAGACGAGCCGTATACCCTGGCCCCGCACTCCCTTCAAAAACCTAACAAGGAACACCCTAAACCCTAAACCCTGAATGCTTCAACGCCTCGAAATCCCCCCTAAACCCTAAACCCTAATCCCAAAGCCTTAAACCCTAATCCCTAATCCCTAAACCCCTAAACCCCTAATCCCCTAAACCCTAAACCCCTAAACTCTAAACCAATCCTGAAGCCTCGAAGAGCTGAAAGCCCTAAACCCTTGAAAGGTGCCCCCCAAGTCTCCTGAACCCTCAACCGTGAACCCTAAACC